CCCTCCAGCCCCTATCCCTGTCCCCTCCAGTCCCTATCACTGTCCCCTCCAGCCCCTACCCCTGTCCCCTCCAGCCCCTATCCCTGTCCCCTCCAGTCCGTATCACTGTCCCATCCAGCCTGTGGTTGTACTGCTCCCTCTAAGCACCCTCCCCTTCCTCTTCCTCCTACCATTGCCGGGCCTTCTCTTGCTCTCAACCCCAGTGCTCCTCTTCCAGGGACCCTCCCTTGGCCCTCTTCAGGGCTCCACAACCCCTCCCAGGGTGACTGTTAGCTCTGTTCCCATCACCTGTCTCCTGTTTGTCCTTTGAAGGTGAGGACAGTGACATGCACATGGCTTTACTGTCTGCCCTTTCTGAGCAGTGGCTCCAGGTCACTCTCAGCTTCGGAGGGTGTTTCTGGTTGGGCAACCCTTCTAGATAATTAATTAAATTAATTTTATCTTATGTGTATGAGTGTATTGCCCGCATGTGTATAAGTGCACTTGTGTTGTACAATGCCCATGAAGGTCAGAAGAGGATGTTGGAGCCCCTGGAACTGGAGCTATGGACAGTTGTTAGCTACCATGTGGGTGCTGGGAAGCGAACCTGTGTCCTCTGCAAGAGCAGCCAGGGCTCTTAAATGCTGAGCCATTTCTCCGGCCCCTAAATTTTTTTAAAATCTATTTTTATTTTATATGTATGAATGTTTTGGCTGCATGTATGTAAGTGTACCACTAGTATGGAGACCAGAGAGGGCATTGGATCCCCTGAAGCTGGAGTTACCACGATGTGGGTGCTGGGAACCAAACCCAGGTGTTCTGCAAGAGCAGCCAGTGCTTTTAACCACTGAGACATCTTACCAGCCTAAGCACTTTATTTTCTTGCAGACGCCGGCTGGGCCCCCATGTCTGCCTCTCAGGCTTTGGGAATGGCTGCTGCCCTGGCTGGGCCCCCTCCATGGGCAGTGGGCACTGCACCCTGCGTAAGTACCCATCCATCCCTGTGAGCCGAGCCTTCCCAGTGCATTGCCAGTGTCCAGTCCCCGAGCTGCAGGCAAGGTGGGGGTGGGATCCTGGTTCCCAATCTCTCACCTTTGTCTTTCCTTTCAGCCCTCTGCTCCTTTGGTTGTGGGCGTGGCATCTGCATTGCTCCCAATGTCTGCTCCTGCCAGGATGGAGAACAAGGGGCCACCTGCTCAGGTAACTGGGATGGACGGTGGCTGATGGGGGACTACCAAAGTAACATAGAGATTATGTGCCTGGCAGTGGGCACTTGAGATAGGTTGTAGCTTGGCATCTTCAAACCACCCTGTTAGGTAAGCTTTTTCAGACCATCTTAGCAATGAGGAAGCTAAGACACAGAACCTTTTATCCTGTCTGGGGTCACATGATGTATGAGTTACTTTCCTTGTTGCTGTGACAAAAGCAAATTAAGCAGGGAAGGGTTAATTTTGGCATAGTTTGAGGGTACGATCTATTGTGATGGGGAAGGTGTGGAGGGCAGGAGGATGAGGCAACTGTTCGTGTTGTATCCACAGCCAGGAAATAGAAGGGGTTGAATGCTGGTGCTCACCTCACTTTCTCTTTTGTATTCAGTCTAGCCTCTAGCTCATGAAATGGTGCCATCCACAGTTAGAGTGCATCTTCCCATCTCAGTTAACCCAAACTAGAAACTCCTTCATAGACATGACCAAAAGTTTGTCTCCTACATGATTCTAGAGCCCACCAAATTGACAATAATAACTGTCACACATGGCGAGTAAGTGATAGAGCTGGATGAATGTCTGTTTATCTCCAGAACATCCCCCCCCCCGCCCACAAAATTTAGGAGGAGTCCCAGGACAGTAGGGTGTCTGGGCTGCCACCTGCTACATTGGGTGTGTGTTCACTCCTACTTTGCTTGTTTTAGAAGCCCATGGATCCTGTGGAGAGTATGGCTGTGACCTCACCTGTAACTATGGTGGCTGTCAGGAGGTGGCTCGAGTGTGCCCTGTGGGCTTCTTGATGACCGAGACAGCTGTTGGAATCCAATGTGCAGGTGAGAGCCTGGTAGGGTGGGGGAGGGGAGGGTGGAAGGACAGCTTTTCCCTGAACCAGCTGGAGCCCAGGACCTGAGGGAGAGGGACAGGGAGGCATGCAGGCTGAGGATGTTACCCTCCCATTATTTCACATGGATTTATGGGCAGGAACAGAGCTTGGGACTGAGATTACAGTGAAAATGACTTTTCTCAAAGAAGAGTAAAGTAAATGGCAATTTATTTGAAAGTAAGAGTGGAAAGGTAAAAAGGCAGGACCCCTGGAAATCACAGAGATGTTTCCATTAAAATGGAATGCTTGGGGCCTGGAGTGATGACTCAGAGTTAAGAGCACTGGCTGCTCTTGCAGTGGACCCAGGTTTGTTTCCCAGCACCCACATGGTGGCTGACAACCATATGTAACTCCAGTTCTAGGAGATCTGATGCCCTCTTCTGGCCTTGATGGGCATTGCATGCATGCGGTGCACTTACATAATGTAGGCAAAACACTAATACACATAAAATACAAATTAATAAATTAAAATGAGATGTTTGCTCCTCTACCTGGGTGTGCACATGTCTGTACATGTAGAGATAAAGCACATTTATAATAAATAAAAAATATTATTAAAAACATTCTTTTAGGGTGATATTCAAAGTAATGGGCTGCATTATGGCATTTTCATTTTTTATTTTATGTGTATGAGTGTATTGCCTGCATGTATGTGAGTGCACCCATGTGGTGCAATGCTGTGGAGGCCAGAGAGGGCTTCGGATTCCCCTGGAACTGGAGTTAATTACAGTTCATAGCCGCCATGGGGGTACTGGGAATTGAACCCAGGTCTTCTGCAAGAGCAGTCAGTGCTCTTAACTGCTGAGCCATCTCTCCAGCCCCTCTTTTTTCCTTTTCAAAATATTTTACTTATTTTTTTATGTGTACGAGTGTATTACCTGCATGTATGTGAGTGCACCTATGTTGTGTAATGCCCATGGAGATCAAGAGAGGGCATTGGATCCCCTGGAACTGGAGTTATAGACAGTTGTTATCTGCCATGCAGGTGCTGAGAATCAAACCCAGGTCCTCTGCAAGAGCAGCCAGTGCTCTTAACTGCTGAGCCATCTTTCCAACCCCTTCTTTTTTTCCTTTTTAAATATTTATTTATTTATTTATCCATTCATTCATTCATTATTCATTTATTTGTGTGTGTGCATGCCTGTGTGCCATGGAGTGTGTCTAGAGATCAGAGGGTTCTTGCTGTAGTCCCAGACAGCCCGGCAGCTGTCCCCAAGCTCCTCAAACCCTTCCCTACCCAGGCAGCTGGCCCCTCCTGATGCTCCTGATCTTCCCAGTTCCACACTCTTCCGGGACACACCTGCTGTGACTGGTCATTCCTGGACAGGGCATATATCACCCTACCAGACTTTGGCCCCCCACAGGTGTGTGTCTGGCCTTTGAACAGACTGTAAGCACCTGAGACTCTGTACAATGTCCAAGGTGCTCTTGGGACCTCAGTGGCCCCTCTCTAGGTCTGCTGCTCATATGTGCTGCTCAGTGAACATCCAAGGGAATGCTACTGTCCACCATACCCTGTCCTTTTTGGGGGGTCCTCAGTGTTGCCACAAAGATGGGACCATCAAAATGGATCTGCCTCAGTCATGATTTCTCATCATTTGATCTTCAGGGGTTAAGGGTAGGGCCCAGTCCCTCCCATCCTTCTGCCTCTTCTTTCTGGGATTCCCCTCATGGCCACATCACTTTCCCGGTGCCTGACCTGTGGGTAGGGGTTCCACACTGTTGAGTGGGGTCATGGGTTCCATGCATGGTCATTTTCCCCAGGTCATGGCCACACTCAGAGTGGGCTATGCAAAGGTTTTCTTTTCCCAGATATTGATGAGTGTTTAAGCTCCTCTTGTGAAGGTCTCTGTGTGAACACAGAAGGTGGCTTTGTGTGCAAGTGCGGGCCAGGCATGCAGCTGTCTGCTGATCGCCATAGCTGCCAAGGTGAGCTGGTGGGGGTAGGGGCAGCAGCTAATGGGGCCTACCAGGTCCCATACCATGTGTTTTCCATGCCACAGAACTCTGGGAAGGATACTGTGTAATTCCTGTTGAACTGGGGGAAACTGAGGCTTGCTCATATCCACTCCCTTAGTAAGATATGGAGTTAGGGTTCGAATCCCAGCATGATTAACTCCAGGGGCTTTGCTCTGAACCCAAACATGCCAAAATCTGCTGCTGCTGTCATAGGGTGGAGGGATGGGGATGAAGGACATGACTCAGGAAGAAAAAGGGACAGATGTATCAAGGGCAGGAAGCACCGATGTACTGTGATAAGGTCTATCACTTACACTGATGGCTTTCACCTACCTGGTGCTGGACCAGGCTCTGGGAACACCCAGACAGTAGGACCCCACCCTCCAGTCTGGTGGTTTGGAGAAGCGTAAGACTGAAGCAAGGTTCTAGGGCTTTGGGGGCCCAGGGAAGAGAAGATGTCTTTTTATTTTTTCTGAAGATGGAGTTTTACTGTATAGACCATTCTGACTTCCAACTTGTGATCCTCCTGCCTCTGCCTTCTGGGTGCTGGATTTATAGGCAAACCCCCACCATGCCTGGCAGGTTGAGCTCTTTTATAATACTTACCCTTTCTAAGTGATTTTGATTTGTACAAATTATGTGAGGAAACAGTCTCACGCAAGATGTAGGAGACAAAAACACCCTCTTTATACCATGCTATTATTTCCTCTGCATGTGAAATTTCATAAAACACAAAAGTCTTGAACATCACAGCAAGCCTCAGGCCCTCTCTCCCAACCCTGTTCTCTCCTAGTCAGCTTGAGTTGCCCTAATAAAATGCCACAGGCTGGGCAGCTTAGGCCAAAGGAACTTACTCTCTTCATTCCTGGGAGACCTGAAAGTGCTGGCTTGGCCCCTGATGAGAGTTTTCTTCCTGGCTTTCAAAGAATGATCTTGCTGTGTCCTCACAGGATGGTAAGAGAGTGACCAAGAGGCCTTCTGGTGACACTTCTAAGGGCATTTATCCCAACTTTAAGGCCCCACCATCTAACCCTAATTATCTCCCAAAGGCTTTTCTTCCCAAATATTACCACACCAGGAAGTATGCTTTTAGCTCAGATTTGGGAAAGGAGGCACAACGCAGTTGGTGGCACCTAATTTTCAGTCTAGAGGCTCTGCCTGCCTGCCTATTCCAACCCCACATGTTCTTACATACATATGCATATATACAGACACATTAGCTGCCAGGCTCAGCATTTTCCACACATTTCTCATTCCATCCCCCCAATTATCTTATGATGTTGATACTGTTTATCTCCATTTTATTGATAGGAACATTGAGACTTAACAGAATCAAACAACTTACCTAAGATCATACAGTTGTTTCTCCACTTACTTTTTTTTTTCCTTCTTCTCTTTTCCCTATCAGTTGGTCTTAAATATCTTCCACATCCGGTAAATAGCTCTGTTGGTTTCTTTGTGCCTCTGCATTGTTCTCTACAGTGTAGGAATCTCGTAACTTATGAGGTCTTCTATTGATGAACATGGAGATTATTTCTAGTTTCTCATAACTTCAAACAAGAGCTTGTGGAAGCTTCTACATAGGAGGCACAGTAGAAGAAGGTTTTGAAGTAGTCATGAAACTTTTCTGTCTAGACAGGAGGGAAAGGCATCCAGGGTACATGGACTAGGAGCCCAGGTGAGAATGGATCATGTTTAGAAGGAAATTAAGCTAGAGTGAAGGTGAGGGGCTGGGAAGGAGGTGGGAAGGGACACCCATAGCTATGTTGATTTTACTTATTTAACTTACATTTTAACTTATTTATTGCATGTGGGTATCCACACACACATGCATGAAGTATGGCATGTGTGTGGGGGTCAAAGGACAACTTTTGGGAGTTGTCTTTCTCCTTCCACTAGGAAGTTTTGAGCAGAGAGTGGCCCCATCACGGGTGGCCTTTAGTTAGGACCTCCTAGGTACTGTGAGAAGATGGTTTGGGAGGATTTAGGGAGGCTGTATTTGTTCTCCAGCCTAGAGACGAGGTGGCTGGCCTGGGCTGGGGTGAGGTGGTGAGGGCAGAGACCATCAGCTGGCAGGGAGTTTAGGACTTGGCAGACTGAATGGGAGGGAGCAAAGTGGTCCCCCATGCCCTGAGTGGCGTAAGAGAGGGAGCTGAGAGGCTTTCCAAGCCCCAGCTTTGTCTTTTTCCTTCAGACACGGATGAATGCCTGGGGACGCCTTGCCAGCAGAGATGTAAGAACAGCATCGGCAGCTACAAGTGTTCCTGTCGCGCTGGCTTCCACCTGCACGGCAACCGGCACTCCTGTGTAGGTAAGTTCTGTGGCTGGTACACTTAGGCTGCCAGTCAGTAAGAGGAACAGGTCCATCTGGAACATGGAAAGACCAACATTTGGACCTGCTGGTCCCCTGGAGCCTTTGCTCAGAGCCTGCTTGTCCCCTGCTTGGCATGGTCCCAAGCTGGGCTTTTCCTAGCCATATCCACTTAAAAATTTTTTTAAATTTATTTTATGTGTATGAGTATATTGCCTGCATGCATGTAAGTGCACCAGTGTCATGCAATGCCCATGGAGGTCAGAAGAGGGCATTGGATGCCCTGGAACTGGAGTTATGGACAGTTGTTAGCTGCCATGTGGGTGCTAAGAACCAAACTCAGGTCCTTTGCAAGAGCATCCAGTGCTCTTAACCTCTCAGCCATCTCTCTAGTCCCACATTCACTTTTCTCCTGCAGTTTCTCTTCTACACCTTTCCCAGATACACCCCAGGACTCTTATCTGCTCACCCATTTTTTTTTTTTTTTGACTCTTTGCCCCCCTGGGTAAATAAAATACTTTATGTCTTGATTCCTCTGGTTTCAAAGGAGACCCCTGTTTTCTTAGCCCATTAGTAATAATTTCCAGAAAGGAGTTGGTACATTTGGCTTATAGATCTAGCTTGAAAAGACTTTGTTCTAGGGGCTGGAGAGATGGCTGAGCAGTTAAGAGCACTGACTGTTGTTGCAAGAGGACCTGGGTTTGATTCCCAGCACCCACATGGTGGCTAACAACCATCCATAACTCCAGTTCCAGGAGAATTTGACACTCTCTTCTGACCTCCATGGGCAGATATAGGTGCACTTATATACATGCAGATAATACACTCATACACATAAAAAAATATTTTAAAAAAGGACCTTATTCTAGTGGCGTTTGAGCAGCTCAGTGAGGGTTATTTTTTTCTTGTTGTTGATTATTTTGTTTTGATACAAGGAGGGTTTCACTCTGCAGCCCTGGCCGACCTAAAAGTTACTAAGTAGACCAGGCTGGGCTTGAACTTACAAAATCTGCCCACCTCTGCATTCTGAGTGCTGCAATTAAAGGTGTGCGCCACCACCCAGAGGCCGTGAGGTTTTTTTTTTTTTTTTGGTCTTTTTGAAGCAGGGTCTCACTGTAGCCCCAGCTGGCCTGGAACTCACTATGTAGACCAGGCTGGCCTTGAACTCACAGAGATCCGCCTGCCTCTGCCTCCCGAGTGCTGGGATTAAAGGAGTGAGCCACCATGCCCGGCTGCCTGTGAGTTTTGCGGTCCTTTTTACAAAGAAACACAACGGCAGAAGGCTTAGAAATGACATTGCCAACACCATGGAGCCCTTAATCATTGACAACTGGATGCATGAACCCTCCAAGGCGATTACCCTTACCTCGCAGCCCTGTTCCCTTACACCCAAAGCAGGGATGGACTGTCTGAGAATGTTGTGGGGGAACGCTCCAGTCTTCTGGGTTAAGGGATGGTAGGAAGAAGGGCTCCAGACCCAAGACAAGGCAGCGAAGCTCTTCCGCAGATGTCAACGAATGTCGGCAGCCCCAGGAGGGTCGAGTCTGTCACCATTCCTGCCATAACACCGTGGGCAGCTTCCTGTGCACCTGCAGACCTGGCTTCCGGCTTCAGGCAGACCGTGTGTCCTGTGAAGGTGAGCGCCAGCCTCCAGCCCTACCTTCAAGACCTTACTTCTGCCTTCCCAGCATCAGGCTCCACCCCAAAGAGCCCCAGCTGGCTTGGAATTCCCTATGTAGACCAGTCTGGCCTCAAACTCAGAGATCTTCATGCCTCCGCCTCTCAAGTGCTGGATTAAAGATGTACCTCCACCACATCTTGATCTCACCCGTCTCACCAGGCCCCACCTCCCTGCAGGCCCGTCCCACCTGGCTCCAGGCCCCACCTCCTTGCTCGTCCTCCCCACCTGGCTCTAGGCCCCACCTCTCTACAGGCCCTGCCCTCCTGATTCTAGGCCCCACCCACTTCAGGCCCCGCCCTCCTGACTCCAGGCCCCACCCCTGCAGGCCCTGCCCTCCTGACTCTAGGTCCCACCTCCCTGCAGGCCCTGCCCTCCTGACTCCAGGTCCCACCCCCTTCCCAGTCCCTTTTCCTTAACCCCCCTTTTCCCAGCTCATCTTGTTTGTTATTTCCAATACCCCCACTTTCTTTCCCCTTTTCTCCTTTCACTTCTTTGCTCCTTTCCCCTTTTCACTGTTCCTCTAGCCATTGCCCCCCAACTAGGGAAAGGAAAGAAAATGGTAATGATGATGGAAGGTGTGACATTGGACTCTCAGGGACTCTCCACCCTTCAGACCCCAGGCGGTGGGGATCCACCTGAAGGGAAAATGCCCTGTCAGTTTCCAAGTACACATATGTACTTGGAGCCTCCTCCTACAGTGTGGCCAGTCTGCTGTGGTCCTGTTGTGGCGAGGACCCTTAGCCGAGCCTTCATCCTGAGCCCCTTCAGGCAAGCCACAGCTGGGTGGGAAGCAGGCGGACACGCTCAGATCGTAGCCCGTAGCAGTTGGAGATAGTTATTCCTCAGGATGAACCCCGGAGGTCTCCTAGTCTCAGAAAAACTTAAGTCCCCATTGTGGTTGTCTATGAAGAGAGGCAGGCAACACTTGAAGTGCTTGGATCTCCATGTCACTGACTTTGAACTCATCCCCAGCCTGCTTCTCATGTGGTTGTTACCACAGCCCCAACCGTTCACCACCAGACAGGTTAAGTTGAAGAAACTGACAGACCTCAGGCCAGGACCCCAAGCGGCTCACTTCCTGCCCCTGCTGCCTCCTACAGGAAACCCTGTGCTTCTATTTCAGCTTTCCCGAAGGCTGTGCTGGCCCCATCTGCCATCTTGCAGCCCCGGCAGCACCCCCTCAAGATGCCTCTGCTCTTCCCTGAGGCAGGCCGGCCTGCCCTGTCCCCAGGACACAGCCCTCCTCCAGGGGCCCCAGGACCCCTGACTGGAGTCAGGACAACCCGTCTGCCATCTGCCACCCTGGCCCTACCCACATCATTCCCCACGCAGATGCTGTCCACCCCAGTGCCAAGTTTCTCCTTTCTGGGAACCCTCAGACACCCCTCACTTCTTAAGGGGGAGGCCGTGGGGACCCCTTCCCCGCCCAAGGGCCCTGAAGGCCCGGGGCTGGCAACAGAACCCTCTTCTTGCTGGCACCTGGGAGCCACACATGAATCGGGGAGCCGCTGGAGCCAGCCCGGTTGCTCCCAGTGCTTGTGCCAGGTGGGTGTGAGGTCCCTAAGCTGCCCTGGTGAAGCATCCAGGGTCTGCCGGTGGCTGCAATTCCTGCTTGTGCATCCAGGATGGGGAGGTGATCTGTGGAGAAGTGAGGTGTGACGCCACCTGTTCCCACCCGATTCCCCCCAGAGATGGGGGGTGCTGCCCCTCCTGCACTGGTAAGAGCTGACACAGTCCCTCTCTTACTTCCCCAGCCTCTTGCAGCATAAAGACTGCTCCTCAGTTTCTCTCACAGACCATTCTTAGAGTCACCTGGAAGGCTGATTTTGATTGGCAGTTCAGGGGTGGGGTCTGAGAGTGTGTGGCTCCTAACAAGCTCCAGGGTTGTGGTGATAGTGGTGATGCTGCTGCTGCTGGTCTGGAACCTCACTTTGAGAACCACTTGTCTATGCTGCAGTACACTTCAAGGGGAACCATTCATCTGGGCATCCTTCTTTGTCTTCATTCATTCGTTCATTCATTCATTCATTTGATGAGGCTCTCCAAATCCACCCTGTTGTTTCCTTTCCCTATCCCAACTCCCATTGAATAGTGGGGAGGACAATCATTTCACCTCCCTTCCACAGGCTGGGGCTGGAGTTCAGGCTTGCCTACCTTGCATGAAGTAGGTCCTGATTCAATCCCTAGCACAAAAAACAAGTCTTGACAAGGCTTGTGCCCCCATTAATTTTCTTAGTGATAATTGCAATATTTCACTGCCTTCTGCCTATGTATTGGGCCCTGGATGGAAAGAGCTGGGTACCCTTTATAACTGAGGTTGAGCATCCTTCTAGGTTTTCCACTGGGTACATGGTGATATTTCCATTTCATGGTGAAAATAGCTGAGTTGCAGAGAGATGAGGTGATGTGGGCAGGTCCACTTAGGTAAACTGAGCCAGGTATGGAATCCACCCTGTCCTGTATGATGGGAATAAAATGATGTTTTCTCAAGATGGACATGAATGGATGCTTCCGGGTCCACTGCGGCCAATTCTGGGTTACTCCCCAGAGATCCTTGGACCACCCAGTTTAAGGAACCAGCATCTGCCACTGCTGGGGCATCCAGGGTAATCAGAGAATGTTCCAGAAACATTACACTGGGAAAAGTAGAGCGCTCAGATTTCCTCTTTGAAGGGACTGATGCCCCACCTTGTTTGTCTTTCAAAGGCTGCTTTCACAGCGGTGCCATCCGAGCAGAAGGGGACGTGTTTTCGCCTCCCAATGAGAACTGCACTGTGTGTGTCTGCCTGGTAAGCAACCCAAGATTCCCAAAGCCTTGTGAATGTTTTCTTAACCTTTGGGAGTTGTCAAGGAGGGGAACAGACTGGATGTAGGCAGTAAGTCTCTTATTGGAAGGGAGCTTCCTTCAGGGGTTTTGGTCCAAAGCTGTTGAACTTGAGAGTGTTGGAGAAGAGTTCAAGCTCTGCCTGGTAGGCTTGGGAGGCCTCTGCTGTGCAGGAGAGAGCCAGGGGAGAACAGGGTCCATCTGTTTGGGGAAGGAAGGGATGAAACTCCCTCAGAAACTTCCCCAGGGAAGCTATTTTTCTCCAGGGAAAATATTTACCACCTCAATAAATGTGACCAATAAAGGGGAGGGGGAAGGCTTATTACCACACTCACCACGTGGGTACTTTGTTTTAGGACAGTTCACCCCTCCAAGAGCAATTATGGAGCACTCACTGTATGCCAGACAGTGCCAGATGCTGCTCCCATAAATTTGATTCTGAACACACTGTGTGCCAGACACAGACTTGGTGCCCTTCCTCAGTTTCTGTTAGGAGGTTCCTGGCAGGTGCGGGGTGGGGGTGGTGGCTGTCCCTCTTCTATGGACTCAAAGACAGAGGTTGGGAGCTGGCAGAGCTGGGGTTTGAAGTGAGATTCCTGTGAGTCCAGAGCCTGGCTCTGTCTACCAGTCCTTATCAACACTCTCTGGCCATTTTTAAGCATGGCTCCTGGGGTTGGCTACATTGGTGGATGCTGTGGCTTATGATCAGTGACCCATAGACAGAGGCCATTTGTGTTCATCTAGCTCTGCCTGGATGCCAGGCATGATGTGACTAAGCACTTTTGTGCATTGTCCCATTTTGTGTACTAGAAAGGTACTGAATCTTATTGACAGAGAGGTTGAAGCTGCTGGAGATGTAATGTCCTTTGCCTAAAGTCTCATTAGTGGAGGCACAGACCTTGGCACTCAGGTCTGCTGACTTCAAATCTAGAGGGTTTTTTAAATCTTAACTTAAAATTTTTTTTTTTTTTTTTTTTTTTGAGACAAAGTCTATCGAGTGAGTCCTGGCTGGCCGGGAACTCACTGTGTAAACCAGGCTGGCTTCAAACTCACCAAGATTCACTTGCTTCTGCCTCCTGAGTTCTGGGACTGAAGGCATGTGCCACCATGCCTGGCTAACTTCAAATTAAAAAAAAAAAATCTTATTTATTATTTTTATGTGTATGAGTTTATTGCCTGCATGTGTATAAGTGCACCCACGTCATACAATGCCCATAGAGGTCAGAAGTGAGTGTCGGGTACCCTGGAACTGGAGTTGCAAGTGGTTGTTAGTGGTTGTCTCTCCAGCCCCCCAAATATTTTAAAATGTATTTTTAAGTTTAATTTTTTGTCCAGCATGATGGCACATTCCATTAGTCCCAGCACTCAGGAGGCAGAAGCAGGTAGATCTTTGTGAGATCAAGGCCAGCTTGGTCTACATAGTGAGTTCCAGGCCAGCTGTGGCTACCTGGAGACCCTGTCTCAAAAAAACAAAAACAAGGGGCTGGAGAGATGGCTCAGTGGTTAAGAACACTTACTGTTTTTGCAGAAGATCCGGGTTCAAATCCCAGCACCCACATGGCAGCTAACAACTCTCTGTAACTCCAGTTCCAGGGGATCCGACAGCCTCTTCTGACCTCCTCGGGCATTGCACGACACAGGTGCACTTACCTACATGCAGGCAACACACACATACACATAAAATAAAAATAAAATATTTTTTTAAAAAACAACCCCCCCTAAAAACCAAAAACAAAATGATTTTTTGAATAACAATAAGAGCTACCTTGGTTAAGATACAGATGGACAAGCAAGACCAGAGGGCCTCCTTCTAGTAACCTGGTCCTCCAGCATCCTCAGCCTTTCTGTGAGCTGCGTGCCTTTGTGTAGTGGCATGCTCTGCTCTCCCATCTGCCATAGCTTTCCCCAGGAATCTTTTCGTCCTAGAAAGGGGATCTTCTGCCCTCACTATGGTAACAGGAATGTGATCCTTTTGACCTCTGTGCATTTGGAGGTCTCCATGGCTTTCTTTAGGGAGCTGTATGTTAGGAAATTGTGGCATAACACAGGGCATGAGCAGGTTGGCAATGAATCCTGTCCTACTCTCCTCCCCACCACCCTCTTTTGCCTTCTTAGGCTGGAAATGTATCATGCATCTCCCCGGAGTGTCCCCCTGGTCCTTGCAAGACTTCCCCACAGTCAGATTGCTGTACTTGTGTCCCAGGTAGGTGACTCTTGCGGGAATTTTTTGTTTTGCAGGGGAAAGGTGACTTTGGAGTATGTGTTGGAACAGGAGAGGGGTGATTGACTTCTGTTTTAGAAAGGCAGATCAAGTAATGCATTTCAATCACCCATTTTTAGTGAGCTCCCACTATGTGCACAGTGGCTTGGATCCCAGACTATGCTCATGGCCTGGCTTCCCCTGTTCTTTACCCCCTCGCCCTGGGTCATTCCTTGAACATAGGCAAGAATGATTGTGAGCCCACCCTCAGCATTGCTCTGCCCCTGGGTCGGGAGGGATCTCTCTTAACCCAATAATAACATAAGAACTTGGTTTTCTTGTGATGACTGTTAGAAAATCAGACCTTCCAGGTGACCAGATTAAGCAGGCCCAAAGCAAGGTGGAAATTCCCAGGACCCTGAAACTTAGCATATATGCCCTGTAGCACAGTTACATACTAACTAAGCCTTCTGCCCTGTGGGATGGGACCACCCCCTTCACTCAGAAATTTTTAAGAATGGACACCTTCCTTTGTCTGACAGGACTCATATCTCTCTTGTCTATGGAATGCCACCATACAGGACTGCCTGTCTGCCTGTGATGTTAATAACTCCCTGAATAACGCTCTCATCTGAAGGGCAATTTGTCTCAGGGTCTTGCTCTCGAACCCACCTTCTTGGAATCTAAGAATGACCTCACCAGCATCAGGGATGCTGTGTCCCTTGCTGTCTGGGGCACCTGCCAACTTGGTTTGTTAAATCCTTGAGTCGTCACACTGAGGGAGTGCTGCTCATTTCCTCCTCACCCCCTTCTGTTGGTCTTTTTGAGACAGGGTCTCCCTTTAGCCCCAGCTGGCCTGGAGCTCACTATGTAGACCAGGCTGGCCTTGAATTCACAGAGATTCGCCTGCCTCTGCCTCCCAGGTGCTGGGTTTAAAGGCGTGTGCCACCACACCTGGCTCATTGCTCCCTTTTAATGAGAAAACAAGCCACCCTCCAGAGATGTGCAACAGTTAGTAAGAGTCAAATACAAACTAAAGTCTACCTGATTTCAAAGCTGGCTTTATTATAAAATATTTTCTTGGACCAGGGAGATGGCTCATCTGGTAATGGCATCTGATAATGCCAAGCCTGGCAATTAAGTTTGATTCCCAGAACCCACATGGTGGAAGGAGAGAACTGACTCCTGCAAGCTGTCTTCTGACCTCCACATGTATAGTGATATCCTCCCCACCCTAATAAATGTGATTAAAAATTATTTATTTCTTTTCTTCACAGTGCTGGGGATTGAACCAGCCCTTTTTATGTGCCGGGCAAGTGTTTCACCGCTATCCTAGCCCAATTTATACTTTAGTTTGAGTTGTCTGAGCTGGCCTTGAACTTACTCTGTAGTCTGGGCAGGACTTGAATTTTTCATCAGGCTATGCCTTCAGGTCTAGCATAAATTATTTTTCTGACTTTGAGACATTCTGCTACTCTTAAGTCCCCTTTGTACAGTCAGTCGAGTCGGGAACTGTTGTCAGCTCCCTTGCAGTCGAGAACTCTGCAGCTTAGAGAGATCCATGTATTTTGCTCAGAGTTACCCTTAATGAGTTGTGATTCTGGGATTTGAACCCAGGGCAGCCTGAGTAGACACACACCTGCCAGGCTTCTGAGCTGTTTTTTTTTCCCTGGTGGGGTGATTGTAGAGAGCCTTCAGATCCAGATCCAAGCTCTCACCTATTCCTCATGCAACCTTTATCTAGGTTTCTGGAAGAGCTCATTTTGATTTCCTTGCTCTATAACTGTTTAGGGTTCCCTCTACCTTATTTATTTATTATTTATTTATTTATTTATTTATTGTTTATTTACTATGTGTATCAGTCTTTTGCCTGCATGTATGTAAGTGCAACACATACATGTAATGCCCACAGAGGTCAGAAGAAGGCATCAGTTCCCCTGGAACTGGAGTTATGGATGGTTGTTAGCTGCCATGTGGGTGCTGGGAACTGAACCTGGGTCTTCTGCAAGAGCAGCCAGTGCTCTAAACCAGTGAGCCATTTCTCCAGCCCTCCCTCTCTCTGACTTTTGGCTAGTGACCTCATTCTGTAGGTTTTTAAGTAGTAACTTGCTTTGTATTTGGGATTTAGTGGTGTGCCCTGAGTTTTGGCAAGGGGGAGATACCCCACCCCTCCCTGCCCATCACTTCTTTACCTGTCCCAGCTCAAAGGCCCTGAACCCCTTCGCCTTTGTCACCTGCAGGGAGATGCTATTTCCATGGCCGGTGGTATGCTGATGGGGCTGTGTTCAGTGGGGGTGGTGACGACTGCTCTACCTGTGTCTGCCAGGTAGGCTGTGAGATTCCTGCATCTGTTGATCCCATAGGAGATGGGAAAGAAGTGAGCGGACAGCAAAGGAATTTACACAGAATGCCTTGCTTTGGAGTCGATAGCCAGCCTTTAGCAAAAGGGAGACGGAGGCAGCACAGCTGCTGCAGGAATCTCCTGTGCCTTCCAGTCTCCATGAAGTCTAGCCTTCAGCTCTGTATTGATAGAGCACTTACTGTGACCTGGGAACACAGCTCAGCCCAGAACAGCCCCAGCCCCCTCTGCCAGGCAGCCCACAGCCTAGGTGGGTATGGCTAGGCACAGTGTCCAGAAGCCTTTCTCGTGTTGAGGAGAGGGACAGAGGAGACCTGAGGGGTGAGTCAGGTGAGGCACTGAGAGTGCTGTGCCTGGTGGACAGTGCTGTGTGGCATTGGGTTGGAGAACCAAAGTCCTGGCTGGAGAAAGGAATTGAGGAGTGAGGTGGGCTTCCCAGGGATGTGTCTCTGGAAGCAGGCTGGGAGATGCAGTATCTATACAGCAGCTTACCTTCTGATGAGTGCTTTTTGGGAGAAAGGAGACAGGCAAGCAGTACAGGGCAGAGGACTCAGGGGAACACACCTTTTCTGTTGCTCATGTGACAGTTCTGAGTTGTGGATGGTGCCACAGATAGGCTGGCCTAGACAGGGAGCTGGACTCTCATAGCTATGCATCAGAAATCAGTGCATAGGATGCAAAGCATCCCTAGCTGTGTCTGGAGGGTGGCTGTGTCAGCCAGGCAGAAGTTAGAGGTCCCTGTGGGGGTGATGGCTCTGTGTCTGACAGGTGGGACGGGCTCCCAAATGGTTGAGGATTGTGGACTGGGCTAACTGTGGAAAGGTTTGGAGTGGTGGAGTAATGAGATGGGATTGATGTTTAGGACAGTTCCCCAGTTGCAAAGCAGAGTAGAGGAGGGAGTCTGGGTGGCAGTGGGTTCAAGAGGAAGGATGAGAGATGGTGGAGACCCACCTAAGATGGCAGGTTACATCCCCAGGACCTTCTCCTAGTATCCCCTCAAAGGACTCACTCTTTTCTGCCCCTCTGTCCCCCTGGAGCTTTCTCTTCAGGCCTCAGTGGCCTAGGGGTGGGGAGCTGTCCCCACTAATGTGAGCTCTTGGCTGTCTTTCAGAATGGGGAGGTAGAGTGTTCCTTCACACCATGTCCAGAACTGAACTGCCCCCGAGAGGAGTGGTGGCTGGGCCCAGGGCAGTGCTGCTTCACCTGCCGGAAGCCCACGCCCACCACAGGTGAGACCAGCAGGGTGGTGCCCATGAGGGAGGCTGGGTTTCCCCCACTAAGACTGATAGCTTATGTGTTCGTGGTATGAGCATATTAATATTTAATATTTTTTAAATTTGTGTGAGTGATTGTGTTTGAATCTGTGTCTGGGAATGTGTCTATTTGTGAGTGTGGCTGTGTGTGTGTCATGTCTCTGATGCATTTGCATGTATGTAAGTACATATCTGTATTTTATGTATGAACATGTGTATTTGATTTTTTAAAAAATATTTTATTTTTAAATTTTTTTTTATTTTTTGGTCTTTTTGAGACAGGGTCTCCCTGTAGCCCCAGCTGACCTGGAACTCGCTATGTAGACCAGGCTGGCCTTGAACTCACAGAGATCCGCCTGCTTCTGCCTCCCAAGTGCTGGGATTAAAGGCGTGCGCCACCAATTTTTATTTTATGAGTGTATTGCCTGCATGTATGTGAGCGCACCCGTGTTGTTCAGTGCCGCAGAGATCAGAAGAGGGCTTCGGATTTCCTGGGAACTGGGGTTAAGGATGGTTTGTAGCGCCATGTGGGTGCTGGGAATCGAACCCAGGTCCTCTGCAAGAGCAGTCAGTGCTCTTAACTGCTGAGCCATCTCTCCAGCCCCTGATTTTTTATATAATGCTGTTGTGTGTTTGTATGAGTTGTGATTGTAAGCATGCGGGTAAGTTTGTGTATGTAAGTGTGTTTAGGGGTGTGCCCTGTGTGTCCTTGGAAGATGCTTTGTATGACTGTATCTGTGAGTGTGTATTGTATATACCTTTAAGTATTGGTGAACAAGTGATATCTGTGTATGAATAGTGTGTCTGTGAATGCATGTCTGTGTGTGTGTGTGTGTGTGTTTTGTGAACTTGTGTGTAATTTGATGTATATCTTTTTGTGTGAGTGGTTATCTGTGTTTGAATCTGTGTCTGGGAATGTGTCTATTTGTGAGTGTGGCTGTGTGTGTGTGTCATGTCTCTGATGTATTTGCATGTATGTAAACACATATCTGTATTTTATGTGTCTGTGGGTTGTGTTTTGAGAGCATGTGTGTGTGTGTTTAAGTACGTGAGTGTAGGCCATCTATTTAGGGAATATGTGTGTTTACTGTCTGTTTTTGTACATGGTGTATGTCTGTGAGCATGAGGTGCCATCTTGGAAGGTGATACTGTAGGTCTGGTTGGTTCTTTTGCCCACTATCTTTTTTTTTTTTTTTTTTTTTTTAAACATTGTGGTTTTGGGAGTCCATCAAGCATGCCCTACCACTGAGGTGCATCCTTGGCCCTCTTCCAACTGTCTTTTCTTCCTCACTGCCCCCCACCTCCCCCTGCTCTCCGGCCAGGCTGCTCTCTCGATGACAACGGGGTTGAGTTTCCAATTGGACAGATCTGGTCACCTGGTGATCCCTGTGAGTTATGCATCTGCCAGGTGAATGACCACCTGCTCATCTTTGGCTGCTTTACCTGGCTATCTCACCCGCCTTGCCCACAGGAGACCCCTGCCCTTCCAGAGGCCGGGCCACTGCCAGCCTGGCTTCAGTCTCCCTCCCAGCCAGGACCAGGACCCTCTTAATCTGCCTTGTGTGGGTGGTTGAGATCAGCAGATCTTGGCAGGCTGCCTTAGAAGCTGTGAGTGACTGCTTGGCAGGGAGCTGCCGCCTTGAGGGTCAGCCTCAGGAGGCCTCCCAGAGGGTGGCCTGGGGTGTGGCTAGCTGAGGGAGCTGAGGTGCCACATGAGTACCATGTGTTGTTTCTTGCTGAGCCTCACCTTGTCAGAACTTAATAAGAAGGCATGTGCATTTGAAAGTCAAACATACTCAGAAGCTCAGGGTGCACACTGGTTTCCTTTCCACTCTGAGAATGTTTTGGGTCCCTGGGGCCTTTGTTCTTCAATAAAGCAGTGTGGGATCTGGCCATCACCATTCATGCAGGATCTCCAGGCCCTGCCCACATCTCTGGCCTTGGAGTTTGCATCTCCAGGTTACTGGTGCTCATGGTAGTGTGTGAGAAGCAGGAACTTCAGGTGCCTCTGAGGTGCCCTGGGCCCTTGCAGAGCTTGTACTCATTTTCTGCTGTGAGAATGGGGTGTAAAAACCTCTTTGTGCTGTTTTCTCAGGCACTCATTTTACAAAAGTAAAGCAAGAGGCTCATAAACATTCAAATTTTTAAGAGAGGGAGTAAGAGGGGGCGGGTAGAGGAGGGGGTGGGGAGAAGAAGCCTCGTGTGGCATTTTGGTCTTCTGAAATAGGCATTTCCGGTGGAATAGTTTTCTATAAAAATAGGATTTTATTGTTCTCCATAGGTTTGGGGTGAGCCAGGGTTCCAGGGAAATGCTGAGAAGAATGTGGAGGGGTGATGGTGCAGCCTTGGCTGCTGCTGCGGAGGGACAGGAAACAGAGGAGACAAAAGTCCCAGCCCTGACTTCCCTCTCTTGAGACAGACAAAATCTTTGGGAAGATCTGTATCACCCTCCCAAGCAGCTGGTCCTCTTTGGCATGTGGGCAGGGTGGGGAGGACCTGCCACTCCCCTGCCTCATCCTGGCATCCTCAAGGGCAAGCCACTGCCAGTAGGCAGCATTGCCTTTCCTTCGCGGGTCGGGAGGTGGGCCATGGTGTCCCAGGTCTTGGTGAAGTTCGTCCTTTCTTTAGGCAGATGGTTCAGTGAGCTGTAAGAGGACAGATTGTGTGGACTCCTGCCCTCACCCCATCCGGATCCCTGGACAGTGCTGCCCTGACTGTTCAGCAGGTAACCCCAGCCAGGTCCCATCTCACCCCCTGAAGCTGTTCTCAGAACTCCCAGAGCCCTGGCCGCCAGCCCCTCCGCACTGAGCACCATTGGAGCCTCAAGTTCCCCTTCCGGCAACCTGCATGGCAATTGCAGTTTAGAGAAGCAAAGTGGCTTGCCCCAGGCAGATCCTGTTCTTGGTGGCAAACACCTTTGATCCCAGCACTTGAAGCACAGGCAGGCGGATCTCTGTGAGTTCAAGGCCAGCCTGGACTACATAGTGAGTTCCAGGCCAGCTGGGGCTACAGGGAGACCCTGTCTCAAAAACACAGAAAGAAAGAAAAAAAAATCTTCTAAGGACGAGGCTTGTTGGCACATGCCTATAATCCCAGTACTTGGAAGGCAGAGATAGGAAGATCAAGTTTAAAGTCAGGGCCTGGGGAGATTAGTTCAGTGGTTAAGAGCACTGGCTACTCTTGCAGAAGATCTAGGTTTGATTCACATCTGTAACTCATAACTCCAGTTCCATGGGGACCCAACACCTTCTTCTGGCATCCTCGGGCATTGCATGCATGAGTGGACTTACACACATGCAGGCAAAACACTCATGCACATAAATAAAAAATAAAAATAAAGGGTTTAAAGTCGGTCTGGGGTAGATAGCAAAGACAAAATAGAATAAACCATATTATATTGAGGGGTATATTTTAATAGTAGAATGCTTGCCTAGCATGCAGGACAGCTGGGCTCTAGCCCAGGTACTGCAAAAACAAAAACAAAAAGTAAAAAACAAACAAAGTGCAGGTAGATAAAAGTTAAATATTTTCCTACGGTCTTACCTGCTTTTATTTATTTATTTATTTATTTATTTATTTATTTATTTATTTAAGCAGGGTCTTGCTATGTAACCCAGCCTGGCTTTGACTTCTCTATGTAGCCCAGGCTGTTCTGGAACTCGATGCTCCTGCCTCAGTCTTCTGTACTGGAATAAATGGGCATGTGCCACCATACCCAGCTCATCATCTGTTTTTGTATTTAGCAGTATGTGACCAGTTTCATCAAAGTGGCCTCATTCATACTGAGCCTTTGGGGCTATCGGGAATGAGGGACGTAGAGGACCAGTCTGAACAGATGGGGTTTGTGGTTGGCTGAATGGAGGGAGATAGATGTTGTATGTCTCTAGTACTACCTGGTGCCTACCAGTCTCTCTCTCTCTGTCCCACCCGCAAGGTCCTCAGTGTCTTTCCCTCTTGGGGTGGGGAAGAGCACTGAAGAGCAGGACTCTGATCTCCTTGCTCAATCCAGTATAGCAAACAGCCAGCACCCATCCAGAGGGTGATTATCCCTTGTCTAACCTCTAAGCGACTGCCTGGGGAGGTGCTCGGCCTAATCTTTGTTATCCAGATAAGCTTCTGACCTTTACCCTGGCCAGGCACCTGGCCACTTCTCTGGCTGCTGCTTACCACATGCTCTGTTTGGCAGGCTGCACCTACACAGGCAGAATCTTCTACAACAACGAGACCTTCCCTTCGGTGCTTGACCCCTGTCTGAGCTGTATCTGCCTGGTATGAACCACCTCAACCCGACCCCAGTCCCCAGTATCAGCTCCTGCATCCCAAAGAAGGGTTGCCGCTGGTCCTGGTGAAAGCCAGCTCCCTGCAGACTGTCTAGCCTGCTTTGTAGCCTAGGGTCAGGGAACTGTTTGAAAACCTGGCTGGTCCCAGCTCTCTGCTTCTGAGTTGCCGGGGACAGTCACAGGGGCTGACTCTTGGCAGTGTAAAATGTGACCCAGGGACTCTTCCTAGATGTGGATGGAGGTCAGGATCTTTTTAGCATATTCCCATTTGGTCTGTTGCTGTCTGCCCATCTTTGTTCTCAACCCCTGATGTGTGTGAACACAGTGACTCTCATTGTTTCTGGTTGAATGAACCAACATGATTTATGATTCCATGGCTAGTTAAAGTGCCTAGAACCAAACCCTAGGACTCCTGGATCCACACTTATACCTAGAACGATTCCATCTCTCAGTCTACAAAGCATATTACATGGTGCAAGCTGAAATTTCATATTTGAAAAGAGGACAGAAGTCACATAGCTTGCTGTGACTTAGTCAAGGATGGATGGCTCTGCTGGGGAGGCAGTGAACCTCAGCCCTGAGTGACAAGGGACAAGGTCAACAGATGGATTGAGAAATGTGGGGTAAACATCTCTGTGGCCTCTGAGTGACCCACTGCCCATTGGCCCTGTTTATTCTCAGTTGCTCCTGGGTCCTTCTTTCTCCCCAGTTTCTTTTTGTTTTTGTTATGGTGTTGGGGATAGAACCCAGGCCACCGAGCCACACATAAGCTATCTCCCTGGTTTGAGCTACTCGGCTTTCCTGGGTTCTGTATTTGTTCAGCAGGCCACTATTACAGGTGACCTGTCAGGCCTTGTCCTTAAGAAGTATGTGTTCTAGCAGGAATGACTCAACTGAGAAAATGCCAGCCCCCTCCTTGTCCCACTGTTCCTGGCCAGTGCTGCTGCTCAGATGGGTTCTCTTTGCTGCATGCCTGTGCCTTCTTTAGCATCCCCCCAGTTGCTGTCAGTGAGGGGCCATGTGTATTTTGTATCCCACAGCTGGGCTCGGTAGCCTGTTCACCCGTGGACTGCCCCATCACTTGCACCTACCCCTTCCACCCTGACGGCGAGTGCTGCCCTGTGTGTCGCGGTGAGTGGGAACAGCCACCTGCACCCAAGGCTCCTGGGTGGGCCTGGCTCTCACAGGCCTATCTCCTCTACCTCTGCAGACTGCAACTATGAGGGGAGAAAGGTGGTGAATGGTCAGGTGTTCACCTTGGATGATGAGCCCTGTACCCGGTGCACGTGCCAGGTGAGCTGGCTGAGGCCCTGGGGCTGCCAGCCAGGCCTGCTCCTTGCCCCTCACAGAGTCCCTGAGGCAATCTGCCCACCCTCCAGCTGTTCACTTTCCATGAACTGTCAGAGCACCCATCCCTGTCCGCAAGTCTAGATGAACGTGGCTGGCCATGGCTGACAGTCCTTGCTGTCCAGGCCAGGGCCCAGGTACTGTGGCCTCTGCCTAACACCCATCTGTGGGTCCTGCTGTTGGAGGGCTCTGCTCCAGGTGGGTAGGGTACTCTGGACTTCCTCACAGTGTCCTTCTGCTTCTCCAGCTGGGAGAGGTGAGCTGTGAAAAGGTCCCCTGCCAGCCAGCCTGTGCTGACTCCTCCCTGCCACCTGGAGACTGCTGTTCCTCCTGCCCAGGTAAGTGGGCCCTGCATGCTGAGCTTTCTCTACCATCTTCCACCATGATCTTCCTCTCAGAAAAACAGACTTTGGAATGGGCTGCCAGTGAGACCCAGGCTTCAAGACGGAGCATGCCTTGCTCAAGGTCACACAGCCACAGTGGGGCTGCTCATGAAACACCACAATGTATCACCTGGCTTTTTTTGTCTGTGTATGGTTCTGTGGATCAAGTTCAGAGCCTTATGTAGGCGAGGCAAGTGCTCTTCCACGGAGCTGTCCCCCATCTTCTCCATATTTAAAAACATTTATTTTTATTTTATGTATATGGGTGTTTTACCTGAATATATAGAAGTGCACCTATGTGTGCAATGCCCACAGAGCCCAGAAGAGGATCCTCTAGAGCTGGAGTTACGAACTATTGTTAGCTGCCATGTGGGTACCGGGAATTGAACCTGGGTCCTCTGCAAGAGCAGCCGGTGCTCTTAACCACTGAACCATTGCTCCAGCTTCCCTCTTTTTTTTTTTTTTTTTTTTGAGACAGGGATTTTATATTGCCCAGGCTGGCCCTGAACTCTTGAATTTAAGAAATCCTCCTGCTGCAGTCCTGGGATTGCAGGTATGTGCCACCAGACCTGGCTAGTCCATATGGCTCTATATTGCACAGTTACAAACAGAACACAGTGAACTGCTGTACAATTCTGAACTGTTGATGTGGACCACAGCTGGCTGTTTAAGAAAGTCCTGCCTTGGGCTGGAGAGATGGCTCAGTGGTTAAGAACACTGGCTGCTCTTGCCCAAGTCAGGGCCCAAGTCAGGTGGCTTACAACTGCTTATAACTTTAGTCCCAGGGGATCTGATGCCTTCTGGCTTCCAGTGGTACCTGCACACAGACACAGACACAGACACACACACACACACACACATATATATATGTCTCTCTGTGAGTTGAAGGCCAGCCTGGTCTACATAGTGAGCTCCATGCCAGCTGAGGCTACAGGGAGACCCTGTCTCAAAAATATCAAAATAAATAATAAAATAAAATCTTTAAAAAGAGTAAGTACTCCCTTATCTGTGACCCCTAGTGATGTCTGACACTGTGGATGGAACTGATGGGAGCACTGTGATGCTGCAGCTATCACTCTAATAACAGAGAGGTTCCTATGTGACTGATGGCTGGGTAGCATATGCCATGTGGATACACTGGAAGAAGTATGATTCATAGCCTGGGCATGGCAGTGCCTGATGCTGCGAGATGTCATCATGTTACTTAGATTAATTAGCACACAATTAAGCTTTTTTATTTTAATTTGCTGTGTATGAGTGTTTTGCCTGCATGCATGTAAGTGCACTCATACATGCAGTGACCACAGAAGTCAGAAGAGGGCATTGGATCCTCTGGAACTGGAGTTCATGATGGTTGTGAGCTGCCATGTGGGTGCTAGGAACTGAGCTCGGGTCCTCTGCAAGAGCAGCTAGTCCTCTTAACTGCTGAGTTAGCTCTCCAGCCCCAAGAATAGAATACAATTTAAAGCATATGAATTATTTCAGGAGTTTTCTAGTAATTATTTTTGGACAGTAATTGACCGTTGTAACTGAAATGGCAGAAAACAAAACATTGGATAAGGGGGAAGTACTGCATTCTCTGGAGCTGGCTTGACTATCTTTCCAGTGTGCTGCATTCCCTCCCTCCC